CACTAAGTTACGAATGTCACATGTTCCTTTTACATTTTTAACTTCTTAGTACACGTTCAGTCAGAGACGTCAGCAAGAGAGTAGACACGAAGCCTTTCATTCCACATCGGATCTGTGGCCACACAGAGAAACAGCCCAGGCTGCCCCCGAGTTTCCCCACAGCAGGCAGCTCACCCAGCCACTTACAGAATCCAACCCTCCCAGCTTCCAAGACAAAGGTTTCATACCTGAGATTTCTCAGAACCCATTCAGGTGGTCTGACTGCTGGTAAAACTCTAAGTAGTGGGTTTTCTTAGACTCAGCCTTTGGGCCTAAATTTAGATTCCTAATCTAATTTAAATACAATAAATAAACTGCATTTACGCGGATTTGCTTTCAAGTCTATCCCCTAATTCTGATCGCAGCAAGCTTCATTAATTCTGATTTTTAAAATTTATATGAAATTTTAGAGCATTTATTATTGTTATTATTTGTACTAATTTTAGACAATAACCACTAACTATAAGATTCCATTCCAATATGCACCCACACCAACCAGCAATAACAAAATAAAATGAGATGGCAGCGCCCATAGCTCAGTGGGTAGGGCGCTGGCCACATGCACTGAGGCTGGCGGGTTTGAACCCGGCCCTGGCCAGCTAAACAACAATGACAACTACAACAAGAAAATAGCTGGGCGTTGTGGCAGGCGCCTGTAGTCCCAGCTACTTGGGAGGCTGAGGCAAGAGAATCTCTTAAGCCCGAGAGTTTGAGGTTGCTGTGAACTGTGACGCCACAGCACTCTACTGTGGGCAGCATAGTGAGACTCTGTCTCAAACAAAAAACAAAAAACAAACAAACGAAAAAAACCCCAACAAAACAAAACGAGACCAACAAACAACACAAGCCCTTTCTTGTTTAACTGCATTCTGTGAAATGTTTTAAGCTCTACAAGGGACCTTTGAGTTAATCAGACAGGGCCCCCATTTCACAAATGAGGGATGAGAGGCACAGGGAGGTCAGTGACTTTTTGAGGTACTTGGAGAGAGAGGCAGCGTCCCCTGCCCATCACAGCTGGCCAGGCCTTGCCAGAGGAGGCGCATCCCACAGGGACCCAGAGGCCAATCCTACAGCATTTTGCTGCTGAGGCGGACACACAGGCTCATGCTTCGGGGGGCCTGCACTGTTAAAAGCATTCATTACAGAGCAGAGAAACACACTGTGACAAGGAATGGTGTAGCTAAAAACGTGCCAATGTGTACAGGAAAAGGAAAAGCAGCATGAGCAGGGTCCTCATGCAAACCAGACCAAAGCTACTTTTGAGTGAGTTGTTCAGCGCCAAACATCTTCTGTTAGCCACGGGGTAACACACATCTTTCACGTAGCTTACTGTGAACCTTAGGGAATCATGACGTTTACGCTGTAATTCGAACCACCCCAAACAGTTTCCCTTGTGGAATTTAAAAGCATAAGTCCTCAGAACATACACACAGAGAATTAGCTGGGTATTCTTTTCTCCTCCTACAAACATTAGCATTATTGTACCAGTAGCAATAGCTCAGGATTCATTTAGCTGAAAACAAAGTTCCCATGATAAATGGCTTGACATTCCAAGTGGTGGTCTCTTCAGCATCACCTAATGCATTTTGAATTTTCAGGTCCTTTTTTTTTTTTATACTTATCTCATGGTATAAGACCATATCAAATGTTTATAGAAAATTAATAAACATTCGGCATCAAACATCTAAATTGAATCAGGCATCTATCAGAAAGCGATCTCTTGAATTATACATAGAAATGAGAGTGGAGATTTTAGTTACAGAGCGGCCCACTGCACAAAGCAGAAAGTGACACGTTGCTTTAGTCGGACAGCAGAAGTCCTATCGGCCAAATAACGCCAAATGTTTCTAATGCCTAAAAGTTTCAAACTCAAATAGTTGTTCAGGTTAATAGGTCCACAGGATGGATATTTATTGTCACTCACATTCATTCTTTAGCAGCATTTTGTCACTAATTTCAATGACCCTCAGAATCACATCTACATCTGATGTACATAAAATTAAATACCCCAGGCTCTGCCAAGTGGGTGGAGTGACAATAAAAAGACTTGCTTGTCCCATTGCTCTTCCTGACTTGCATATCTGATGGATTTTCTTTAATAGGTTGTGCTGAACAATTTTTAAAATACTCATGCATCAAAATATCTTGTGGCACCTGTGGCTTAAAGGAGTAGGGCGCAGGCACCGTATACCAAAAGTGGCGGGTTCAAACCTGGCCCTGGCCAAAAACTGCAAAAAGAAAGAAAGAAAGAAAAAAAAAAGAATAGAGGGTCACAGTCTTAGAAATAGCAGAGATCTTCAGGGCTTGTATTTTTAAGGACCTTTTCCAACACAAAATGCCCCAGCCTTCTCTTGCCTGAGCGAGGTGAGGCTTTGGGCAGCGTGACAGGGATTCCCACATTATGTTGCGTATGGGAAGGAGTTTAAAAACTTTCTTTTCTTTTCTTTTCTTTTTTTTTTAGAGACAGTCTTACTCTGTCACTCTCAGTAGAGTGCCATGGCATCACAGCTCACAGCAACCTCCAGCTCTTGGGCTTAGGTGATTCTCTCACCTCAGCCTTCCAAGTAGCTGAGACCACAGGCGCCCGCCACATGCCTGGCTATTTTTTTGTTGCAGTTTGGCTGGGGCCGGGTTTGAACCCACCACTTTTGGTATATGGGGGTGGTGCCCGACTCACTGAACCACAGGCGCCACCCAAACTTTATTTTCTTTAAAAAAAATATTTTTTAGAGAGCCTCACTTTGCTGCTCGGTCTAGAGTGCAGTGGTAGCATCATAGCTCACTGCAACCTCACATTCTTAGGCTCAAGTGGACTCCAATCTCAGCTTCCTAAGTACAGGTGTGCACTTCACCACCACACCCAGAAGTTTCTATTTTCTTGTAGAGACCGAGGTGGGGGTGGGGGTGTCTCACTATGTTGCTCAGGTTGGTCTTGAACTCCTGGACTCAAGTGATCCTCCTGCTCCAGCCTCCCAGAGTTCTGGGATTATAGGCTGGAACAATCATGCCTGGCCTAAAACTATCTATGTCATCTCCAAAGGCACCCCAGGCAGGCAGGTGCAAAGGAATTGGAAGTGGTTCCTGTTCAGATTCACCCAGACTGGGTGAGGCAGAAAGAGTTCTTTGTATTAGCGATTGTCATAAAACATTTAATTGGCTTAAGACCTTGGGGGTCTTTAAAACACATGAACACAGACACATCAAAATAGATGCCATGATTTTTTTCTGGAGACTGTGCTGAGGAGGAGAGGGAGAGGATTAGGTAGAAAGTGGAAAGTGATCCTTAGAATTGGGTGTCCAGACAGCTCTCCTGATGCTACACGTCCCTCTGCCTCTTGGCCCTCCCAGCTGCCCTTATGAAAAGCTGCCAATCTCTTCCTCCTGGTCCCTTTTCCCATTTCTGGGGTGAAAAAAAGTCCTTGTCAGTTTCCAGCCAAACCAAAGTCTCTGGTTACCTTTAGAAAGTTCAATGCATCTGTTTTCTCACCCTTATTTCCTAAAGAATGCAACACAGCCCTCTCTGGACCACAGGTGAGAGGTGGCCACACTGCTCAGCCAAACGCCCCTTGGAACCAAGGTTATTTTCCACATTTCCTTATTTATTGATCAAAAGAATTAGGGGCCACTTCCGTTCTGGTACCCACACCTGTGGTTCCAGTAGTTTATGCTACCCTAGAGTATAGATTTTATTTTGAAGTGAAATGTGGGAGAAAAAAAGAGAATGTTTTAAAAAACAGAGTATGTGTAAAGACTGCTGTATTTGAATCATTGGCGGGTGAAACGTTCTTTTTAAAAAAACAGTTTTGGTAATACATGATGTGCCTACCTCATTTTTCTCTCAGAGGATTACAATTTTTTTTTAAGCTTCTTAAAAAGCTTCTTAAAGTCCCAAGTTAAAGCTGTTACTGCTAACCCAGTCTCAGAGCTGACTGGCTGAAAACCTGTGTGGGCCGGTAAAACCACATTACTCTCCGTGGGGCGGGGGTGGAGCGGTGCAGGGTCAGGGAGCTGGGGAGCTCCCTCCAAGGCCGGCTCCGACTGGCCAGCAAGCAAATTCCGGGGGAATGATAGGATTAAGTGCTCCAAAGAGGATTCCCCAGCCCTCCCCCAAAGGAGGATCAAACACTGGTCTAGTTCTGGAACAAAAATAAACCCCAGGGAAGGAGAAAGCGCCTGTTTAAACAGCATTCGGCCCTTCCCAAAGCCTCCGCTCGCCGTTTTTCCCCCGTGCCGGCGGCTGGGGAGAGCCCTTTTCCGCATCGAGATGTGAGCAAGTGGGGCCATTCCCTCGAGAGTGGGTTGACAAGAGTCAGAACCGAGTGAGAGGTCGTGACCTCAAATCTCTTCTAGCTGTTTTTGGTTCCTGACTAATGCTAAACTCTGCCAAGAAGCGCAATAGCGCTCCGTAGAGAAAGCACTTCGTAAGAGCTCCTCTATCTCCACACGCTCCTAAACTTAGGCCCCAATCGATTAAGGTAACACACATTTCGTGTGTCTTATTGCAAATTGTTTCTTGTCCAGGAAACCAAACCACCACCCATACAGAGCAAAACAGCACCCCTCTCCAAGCTTCATTCTACCCCATTCCCTTTTTCAAAGTGTTCCCTGGGGAGAGGCGTGGAGACGCTGGCAGGGTGGGCACCGAATTTGGACTCCTTGTAAAGACGCCCAGCAGCACACGTGTTAACTCGCTGCCTCGGAGATCTCAGGTCACTGTGACGGTTTTCTATTAATAGGGGATAAAGCTCCCACCCACGTTAGCGGTAATGCCCTGACGGCCTGCACAAAGTTAACTCCTGGCAGGCCAGCAGGAGAAACCATGTCCTGTCCAGGCAGATGTGAGCTTGGAACGCGCGTGTACACATGCACACACTGGGTTTTGGAACCAATCCCCTTAAACAAACCAGATCCCAAGCCCATCCCGGGAAGGAGCGGGACGGCAGGCGTTCGTTGGGTGTCGGTCAGCTCAGCTTCGCCACGCACACGGCTAGGGCCACAGCTGCCAGCAGCACGGCGCTGAAAACGGTGGCGGCCAAGGCCTTGTTGGGGTCGCAGGGCCCCGAGCGCTCCTGTACGGACACCGCCCCCGCCGAGGAGGCGCCTGCGCTGGCGCTGGACAGCAGCTCGGCGCCCGCGGCCTGCCGGGCCTGCACCGTCCAGCGGGGCACGTTGACTTTCATCTCCATGTTGTGGATCATCTCGCCCACCTGGAGGATCTCGCGCTCCAGCTCCCGCAGGTCCGTGACGTCGAAGTCGCTCTCCGCCTCGTGCCGAAGGCTGCGGGTGCTCAGGGCGCGCGCCGCCACACCCGCGGAACCGCCCGCCACCCCGGTGTGTACGAGCGGCCGCCGCGGCGCGTGCAGCGGGAAGGCGGTGCCCAGCTCCAGCGCGCGTCGCATGTCGGCTTCCAGCAGGTCCAGGCAGCCCGATAAGGCCACCCAGAGGCGCTCGAACTCTGAGCGCTCCTCCGCGACCAAGCCCCGGTCGCGCAGCGCGGCCGTCAGCCGGGCGCAGGTGGCCACCGCCAGCTCCTGCGCCTTCTGGCGCGTCTTTTGCAGCTCTTCCCGCAAGTTCTGGGAGTCCGCCGAGCCCCCGACGGTCAGCACCAAGTGGTGGTAGCACGCAGTCGTCTTGTTGAGCGCGTCTAGCATCGCTTTGCACTCCTCCCTTGCCATGGCGGTGCGCTCCAGTGCGGCCCGGCCGCCCGCGCCCCTCTCGGACTCACGGTCTCAGCGCAGCAGGACGCGGCCAGTTTCGATGCTGCCCTTGGGCCAGGTGTTCCGAACGCTCCTCATGGTCCGTGACTCGCTCCGCGCTGCCGCGGCCGTCGACGGAGCCCGTCGGGACCTGCGACGCGCGCCTCGGCGCTAAGAGGGAACCGTGTTAGCGGTCTGCCGTCCCCTCGTCCATCCTCCCCAGATGCACTCGGAGTCACACGCCGTGTGCGACGGCCCCTGCCACCACGGTGGATCCCTGTGAAGTCGAAGGTGCGGTTCCCATCCTCCTCTGGCGCTGACTCCAGGGCTAGCAGACGGCCAAGCCGTGCGCTCCGCCTTAGACGCTGCCAAGGGCGGCCAGGTCGGGTTTTCTAGGATCCGCCCACTCCCGTCCATCCCCCACCAGGAGCTTCCATCCCCCACCCAGGATCAAGGGTAGGCGGGGCCCTGCGCGGGAGGTCACGTGTGGATCTCTCGTCCCTCCCTCCCTGCACCCCATTACAGTTCTGGACCGTTAGCACTCAGGAGATCTAACCCTTCCCTATTTCACAGATGAGAAAACTGAGGTCTGGGTGAAAAGGGGACTTAGTTCGCGCTGAGTCCATGCGAACGAAGGGACTAGAACCCAGGGACTTTCAGACCCTGCTGGCGACAGGACGTGGTGTGCTTGTAAGACTGCGTACTTCCGTCCTCCAAAGTGCACAGTGAAGGGCGATGCATCGCGCCGGACGGTTCCCAGGTCGGACTCTCTGTCCCTACTGCAGTCCAGCTGTCTTCCAGCAATCCAGCTTGGACCACACCCCTAGAGTCGTTCGGCTCTCGGCCCCACCCACTCCCGTTCTGGGCACGCGCAGTCGTTGGCCCTGGGCGGGGCTGGCCCGAGTAGGAAGCGCAGTTAGCCTCCTGAGGCCCGCCCCTAGCTGGGCCGGGCTCAATGACTGCTCTGTCTACATGTCACTCTGGATGAGGAAGGTCTTTCATTGGCCCATCTGGAGCCCTGGGGCGCGGCTCCGCCCAACGGCGGAGTAAGGGGTGGGCTATAGAGCCTCGCCTCCGCGCTGGGGTGGTGGGCACTAAGGGCCCAGCCGAGCATCGGGAGGTACCGCCTCGCCTCGTCCCAGGATGGGCTGTGAATGAAACTATGTAGCCTTTTATGTAAGTGTCCTCTGGCTGGTCTCCTCCTCGCCTTCCCTGCGCTGCGAGGCCCAGAGGCCGGGCGGTGCCCCGTGGAGAAGGGGGAGGGGCGCTCTTCTCCCTGCAGCTGGCGCCCCGGGTCCCGCCAGCGCGGCCAGGGCGGTCTCCAAGCCCCCGGCCCCTTGCCGGGTGTGCTGCTTCGCCCGCCCTCTCCCAGTCCAGTGCGCAGCCGAGCGCGCTCTGCGCACTCTGCCTCTTGTGTCGGGAGGAAATGAGGGGCGGCGCGAAGAATGCGCCCTCCGACCGCCCGGGCTCCAAGACGGGCAAATGGTCCTGGGTCCCCGGAGCTCGGACTAGGGGGCAGTGGGCGGGGCAGCGTTTGCAATTTCCTGCCCAGCCGGGTGGGCAGGGAAGGGTTTGGGGAGAGGTCCACGCTTGGCCCCGGACTGTTGAACTTCTCAGGGGTGGTCACGATCAAGGCGCGGAGGGGAATCCTGGCTGCCCTGCCTTTCATGGGGCGGGATCTCTTAGTCTTCCCAGGCAAAGATTAGTTCACGGAACAGTCTGAACCACGGAGAGAAGTTCCAGACTCTGGATCTGTTCCATTTTTCACTGTAAATAGACTGCCCCGCGACGCCCGAGTCTGGCCGTGCTTCCGTGCCCTCCTGGGAGGTGGAGGGTACGTGGGCACACGTGGCCCGTGCTGAGCTGCGGGAGCGAGTGTTGATCTTTGAAGAATTGTAGGACATTCAGGGATGAGATCTGGCACGACTATAAAGGGACTTCGGAGTTGCACAACAGCTGGGATTTTCCAAGTTTTGTGTGGAGAGAGACCCCTCTTTTGATCAAATAATGTCCCTTCCCACTGTCCTAGAGTAGAGCGGTGGGTATTAGCATTTTGCCTCCTACCAGAGCCTGGTGTTGAGACAGCCTGAGGGTCTAGAGCACTGGGCTGGAGGGCTTGTTGTCACTTGGGGGGCCCGTCCTTTAACTGGTTTAATACTATTCTGGTTGTTGGCTACCAGGGTTCGGTCACTCTCGGCCTTGACCATGCTCTGGGGAGGACAGTTTCAGCCACGCATAGGACACACAGTAGTTTTCAGGACAAAATGGGTGGAAATAGGTAGAAAACCTATCTTTTGGGGAGGGCGGGGGGGGTAGCTTTGGGAACAGTAGAAGGTGATGAGGCTGCAGAGGTGGACGGAAGCCAGACGTCAATACCAAGCCCAGAAGTTGAGAGTTATCTGACAGGCAGCAGCAGGAAAGCCTTTGTGGCTCCTGCACAGGGGAGCTCAGTGTTGGAACGATCACTGTACTATGTTTCAGGTGGACAGGTGTGAGATCTGAAAGAGACAGAGCCTGTAGGCCTTGGAGGAGAGGTGTGGGACGGGACAGGACCCGAGAGACTTGTGCTCCTGGAGGCAGGAGAGCAGTTGGGCCCTCAAGTTGGATATTCCCAACCTTCACTTTGGTTGTGCTCTCCCAACCATGACTTGCTGCCTGAAATATCTTTTTTTTTTTTTTTTTTTTTTGAGACAGTCTCACTTTGTCACCCTTAGTAGAGTGCTGTGGTATCATAGGTCCCAGCAATCTCAAACTCCTGGGCTTAAGCATTTCTCTTGCCTCAGCATGAGTATAAGCATTTCTCTTGCCTCAGCCTGAGTAGCTGGGACTAGAGGCGCCCGCCACAACCCCTCGCTATTTTTAGAGATAGGGTCTCACTCTGCCTCAGGGTAGTCACAAACCTGTGAGCTCAGGCAGTCCACCTGCCTTTGCATCCCAAGTGCTGGGATTCCAGGCATGAGCCACCACACCTGGCCCTGCCTGAAATACCTTTCCAGGCAGCCTTGCTAGGAGGTCAGGCAGGAGCCTCTGCACTGGCCTGGGGTCAGAGTTTGACTGTGCCTCCTTGTGGCTGTTGGACTGTGTTGCTCTCTTGAAGGCCCCTGCTGGGTCTCTGTTATTGACGTTTCTGCGTATGTACCTACGTACTGGCCATGTTTCGGTGGCATCTAGTCTCCTGGGGCTCTCCCTGTGAGCAGTGTTAGGTGGGTGTCCAGGAACTCCACCTTCTCCTAGAGGAGCACAGGAAGGTGACCATGTGGTGATAGTATACGTCAGACCTAGGAAGGATTTGTCCTGAGGTTGGTTCTCCATCTGAGGGACAGGTACCCTTCTCTCTGCCACTATCTTGGATAGACGTTCCCAAGAGAGATGGGTGCATGGCGGTTCTGCCAGCAACTCCAGGAGCTGGTGACGGAGTGGCATTTGGAGCCCGATAACCCCTCCAGACACTTCCCTCCCTCTTCCCATCCTGCTTCTGGCCCTGGGGGCTTCTCTCCTCGGACCCTGCACTTTCCAGCTGTCACTTGTCCTAGTTAGTTTGGTGCCCACTTGCCTGTGGCCTGGGGCTAGCCCCTCTCCCACCCTGGATATGGCAGTGCATTTCTCGCTCTTGTGAGAGCTGACCTCTCCACAGAAGCCTGAGCGTCCTCTTAAGACACTGCTCTCATTTGTTGAAGTGGATGAGCAGCCACCGTGCACCTGCAGCAAGCCGGGTGCACCTGCAGCAGCAACCACCGTGCACCTGCAGCAGCAGCCACCGTGCACCTGCAGCAAGCCGGGTGCACCTGCAGCAGCAGCCACCGTGCACCTGCAGCAAGCCGAGTGCAGGGCTGCGGGCTTTAATAAGAAGCTTTGAGAAAAGCATGGACAGGATCCATAAATGTTACAGGCGACAAGGACACAAGTGACTATGACAACATATATTACATCACCAAATCACTTCCATTGGTTTTAAAAATAGATGAATAGAAAGTTTTTCTTTTTGGCTTTTTCCTTCTGACTCACAAATTAGGCCTCCTGGAGAGTATTTCTCATCAGTTGGAAAATGGGCTTGGGACAAAGTCTTTGGTCAGGGCCCTGGAAGGATGGCAGCAGCCACAACTGTGGGATTTCAACAGGGGGTACAGTTCCGGAAGGTGTTGACGTCCCTGTGCTAAGCCAGGCTGCAGGCCGTCAGGTGGTTCCTGACCACCCGGACTCCCCCAGGCTGGCAGGACGGTTGAAGACCACAAAACCACAAGTGCACACGTCCCCTGCTGAAATGCCCGATAGTAGTCTGAGGCCTCGTGTGGCTTTCCTGTGTATAGATTAATGTCAGATAACTCATGTTCTGGGGTCTTTGGTACCCAGAACCAAAATCCACTGGATTTTCTGTAAATTTTCCCATCAATTTTGCTCAGGCAGAAATGGAAATTTTTTTATTTTTTTTTTTTGAGACAGAGTCTCACTATATTGCCCTCAGTAGAGTGCTGTGGCATCACAGCTCATAGCAACCTCAAACTCTTGGGCTTAAGCGATGCTCTTGCCTCAGCATCTCAAGTAGCTAGAACTACAGGTGCCTAAAACGCCCTGCTATTTTTTGGTTGTAGTTGTCATTGTTGTTTGGCAGGCCTGGGCTGGGTTCGAACCTGCCAGCTCCTGTGTATGTGACTGGTGCCCTAGTCGCTGAGCCACAGGCACCGAGCCAAGGTTCAGTCATTCCTGACTAAGAGAACTGATGTTTAAGATAAAGCAGATGGCTTGGGGCTGGACAACAGCAGGCTCCGTGCTTGTCAGGAGCCTGGGCTGTTCACACGGTTCCTGCATGGGGCCTGCATGTTTTGCATTCCCCAGCCGTCCCTTCTCTGTCCTGCTGTCCGTGGAGTCTTACCACTTCCCCAGGCTCACCTTCTCACTTAGTCAAAAAAACATTTACTCTCAGGTTTCCTGTTCCTACACTGAACCTTTGTCTTTGCTCTGGCCCCTGCAGGGATTGCCTCTCCTGTCCCCCACCCCGTTCCCCCTCTCTGCTGCCCCTTCTCTCTGGTTTTTACCTCCCAGCTGGGTTGTTAGCTCCTGGGTGGACGCTGGTCCCCGTCATCTCTGTCTTGGGGGACGGTGAGTGGGAGGAGGGATCTGTGTTCTGAGCAGCGGGCATGTCTTTTCCCCCAGTCTGTTGCTCACATGATTTTTGTCCCAAGCACCCTTCCTTCTGCAGTCTGCCACACAGAACCGACCGTGTCAGGAAGCAAGAAGAATTTTGTTTTCTTGTGACTCTGTTCCGGCCAAATTGCATTATGCAGCTGTTCTGGTAGGGACTCCTAAAAGGATTATCTGGGCTCCAGTAATAATTGAATTCAGCAATTCAAATACCTGACTTGTTGCAGAGCCATCCCAGGGGCCCAGGAAGGGATTATACACACTCTTTTTAGCTCTAGGCTCTTCTAACTAAGAAGACTTGCAGGGAGCTCAGAGGCCTCCTTCAGGAGACAGCTCTCACTGGGCGGAGGGGGTTTGGTGCAGGGCCTGGGTTGCTGTGTGGACTTTTCTCTCCAGGGAAATATATGGCTCTTGTCTGTCTGTGGCTCCTGAGATAAACCCATTTCCAGGCATTTTTGCTTTATGTGGCAGGTGTGGTGGTTAAAGAGGGAAGTTTTGGAACAAATTCTGACATCTGTGTAATCTCGAGTTTAGTTTATTCGTCTGTGACATGATACTTCCAAGAGTTATTCACATATTAGAATAGAATTAGGGGGTGCCTCCTGTGGCTCAGTGGGTGGAGCACTGGCCCCATATACTGAGGGTGGCAGGTTCGAACCCTGCCCCAGCCAAAATGCAACAAAAAATAGCCAGGTGTTATGGCAGACGCCTGTAATCCCAGCTACTCGGGAGGATGAGGCAAGAGAATTGCCTTAGCCCAAGAGCTGGAGGTTGCCACGGCACTCTACTGAGGGCAACAACGTGAGACTCTGTCTCTAAAAAAACCCAAAACAAACAGAAAAACAAGAATAGAATTAGGATGTCTTGATGGTATCCTAGTACCTGGGACAAGGATGCTCCCAAATGGAGCATTTTTTTTTTTTTTTTTTGAGACAGAGCCTCAAGCTGTCTCCCTGGGTAGAGTGCTGTGGCATCACAACTCACAGCAACCTCCAACTCCTGGGCTCAAGTGAGTCTCCTGCCTCCACCTCCCAAGT